ACTAATAAGGAAGTATATCTATTGAATTTGTAGTCGTGTTTGAAGCCGTTTAATAAACTCACAGGTCATGTTTTATTAGGTCTAAAGCCACTCGCGCTGCGCGCTCGTGGCTTTAAACCTAATTAAACACTCCTGCTCGTTTATTAAACAGTACTTAAAAACCTCACTTAAAATTGCTTGATATCTTAACAATTCAAAATGTATATTGTCTACATGCCTTGAAATTTATTCATGTGTGGCACAAAGGTTTGTTGGCACACATATTTGATCATTTCTTCCAATATTCAAGAGATGTTCATAGTTATAATACCAGATATTCATCTAATTTAAATATGTATAAACCATATGTTCAAACTAATACTGGTAAACAGGCAATTTCTTTGGGGGCAATTGATTTATGGAAGGATCTCCCAGATATAACTAAAAATCTACCTTTGTTTTGCTTCTTTAAGCAAGTTAAAACCTATTTATTGGCTAAACAACATACCTTATTGAAATTTGCATCATTTATGATATAAATTATACTTATTATATATTCTTCAGCTTTTCTATTAACATAAACTAATGGAAAATTAATATTTTCTTCAGTCACTTCCATTATGTTACTGGCATGAGTTTTTGAATTTGTTTTTTTCTTCTTTAAAATGGTGAACAATCTGGTAATAATAGAACCTTCTGTAGTACCAAAAACCTGAAGTGCCATGAACACGGACATACCTAAGTTTGTCATTCCCCAGAGCAAAACAACAACGCATCAATGCTCGTTTCTAATTCGAACAACCAAGTTGTGGAACAGCCTAGCTGATGAACTGAAACTTAACATGATAAATTTGAACTCATTTAAATCTACTACAAGTTATTATTTCTGTGCTTTGGAAATTTCCAACAATCCAGAAAATCCAAGAACATTCAAAACTATATGTACCAAGTGTAATACTGCTTGAACCAGATCTGGTTCAGCCTCTTAACTGCTGCTATTAGTTATAGTTTTATTTAGATAGTTTTTTTTTTATGTTTGTATGCCCTAATTCGGGCCCGCAGTAATTGGCTCACGCTGTTGCGGTCACCCTGCCTATAGTCATGTATATTATTCTTGTTATAGTTTTGTGTATTGTAATATGCGAAACTAATAAATAAATAAATAAAATAAATAAGTATACACGAGAAATCACTTTGTCTATTCCAAGGGGAAAGCAAAGGGGTGCATTGAGTGAAAGAGGCCTCATTGGCAAAATCAGAATAATGTCCACATGGAATGATATGCAGGTAATGTCTCAATCAATTCCATGGTTGCCCATCCCCCCCGGGCATTTGTCGGGCATTCTCAACTGTACTTGTTCCCAGGATCGGGCATTTGCTTTCTGCAGGTTAGCCCCGGGGTGGGGAATTTGCTCAAAGCTAAAAAGTCAAATATTTATCGCTTGTTTCGCCATTTAGCCGTACTTAAGTATGCATGTTTACATGTGCGTGCGTATCGCAAATTAATCATGGCGAACATACACAAGACTTTTTTCTTGTCCATCATGTTGATACATTGACTTACTTTCACAGTTTGATATTGCTATATAAAGTTTTGAGACTTCAATATTTTAATTAAAAACATTTTGAAACGAAATGGCTACAGCATCGATTTTAAATACAGATATATTGATACGTGATAGAGCTTGGATTCGATTTTTTGGATCAGAAATCCTTAGAAACTTTATTTTGTCCCCCAAGGATGGGGCATTTACGTCAATGTAAGTCCCCAAGGGTGGGGATTTTGTTGCATTATTTGGACCCCATACTGGGGCATTTGCAACGTTTTTTTTTCCGCCAAAATGACAAAAGCCCAACAAACGTCCGGGGGGGGGGCAACCATGGAATTGATTGAGACATAACGTGTCGTTATCATGCAAGAATTAACAGATTATCAGTTAAGTTTTAAATTACTTTATTTAGACTTTAACCATTGAGATGCATTACACCCTGATGCGCATTACTTTATTATTTTACCTTGTATAACACCATATGATTTTACTTATCAAGGGGAGAGTGCTGGTGCTTAATGGGTTAAGAGGTTGAACTGTTTTTTTAACATCAGAGTAGAAATCAAGTTTACTTCTCTTAAGCCCAACTTGTGCACTGATCATATAACTAGTTAACTGAAAGGTAGTATACATGTACTACAGTAGGTACTGTCAGTGCTGTTGAGAAAGGGGGGGGGGCACATTTTCCCCTGGGGCACAACATACAATATACTGCTTATCTGTATCTAAATTTCAAGTTTAAAATGTGTATTATACTGTGCACACAATTTTCTTGTTATCCCAGTCATAGGTTAGAGAGGAGGTCACATCTGTATTTGCAACCGTGTTCTTGTTGAATGCAAATCAGTTGTTGGATTATGACTATTTGTGTGTCATGATGGGCATGAAGAAGTTAAAGAGACCATGGGGCTTCTTTGGCAGGGTAAGGTAGTCTGTGTTTCATGGCCAACACATCTTTGCCGTCAGCAATTTCATCCAGTGTAAGTTTTATAGTTATTCTTAAACCAACTGAATCATTGGTTTTGTTAAACAGTTATTATTATGTATTTCTTTATTGTGAAACAAACTGAAATGAATTCTGTGCTGTGTATTTGTTTTTTCATGGGAAAATTTAGTGCAATGTCACAATTTGACTGCACTTTTGATGATTGAGTTTCAAAACACAATTCAATACTATTTCAAAACAGTTTTAAAACATAATTCGTTCAACCACCACAAAAAAAAGTCCAGAAAAAATCTCTATGTGGCATATTACCAATTTTCAATAATCTCCCCTTCAGGAAGTTACAGTAAACAAAATAATAACAGGAATAAATACTTTGTAAAATTATGTAGACTCTGAACATTGAAGATGAAGAGTCTGCATTGGAAGAAGGGATTGAGCCTATAAATAATGCAGCAGAGGAAGAAGTACAAATTATTGAAATAGTATTGTTAATAGTTATATCTCTAAAGTGGAGGGACAATAGTTGCCAACAATATTTTCATACTGTAGCTTGGTTTACCCTTTGTTTTCATGAAGTAACAATGGGTCCAAGGGTGGATTTTCATTCTTTTAAAAGGGGGAATTTCTAGTGGTGTGCAAGCGGCACCACTGAGCAGGCTTTGGCAGGGGCTTTCTTTGTCTTCTAATTTCCCGTGCATGCTTGACAAGGGAAATTTAGAAGACAAAAGCGTACCTCATTACCTCTCATTGGAGAGCTGTACCTAATTGAAAATCATCGGCACAACTATGGACACTATTGGACGACACTGTAATGATGAGAAATGGCTACACACTCATCAAATAAAAATTGCATGTCGAAATCACATTCTTCCACCGTTGGGAATTGAAAATACATTAATTATGCAAAGTTTGTCAATTCAAAAGCAACACGAGCCTGCTATTTGTTTCATATTAAAAACGTTATGATAACGAATGTTCTCTGTTCAGGGGTTAATTGAATCCTGTTTCGTATTGAGTTATTGTCTCACTAAGACAAAGATTGACAAGTTGAGCTTATTTTAGATAATTTAACATTCAATTTTAATTCCTTCTTGGGAATTGTTTATGTTTCATTTTCGATGCAATTCCTAACTGTGGAAGAATGCGATTTCGACTGGCAATTTTGATTTAACGAGTATGTGGCCATTTCTCATCGTTAAAAAATGTTTTATCTGAAAAAGGTGTTTATCTAAAAATGTTTTATCTGAAAAAGGTCCCAGTATTTTGTCAAGACAGTTAAATGATCATCAAACACAGTTGCCTGTGAATGAATTATCAAGACAGATTATGGTGTAAAACAAGGCACTGTCAGCTATGTGGAGCTAGTCTGCTGCCTTTTTTTTAGTGGAAATGTTCCCAGCTTCACTTCGCTTGAGACAAAAGACACAGGTTTTGCAACAAAATGTGAAAATCTATTCGCTTGTGTTCAGTATTTTAGCATGTGATTGGCAGCTGCAGAAAAAGTCTTATGGCCGATTATCAGGCAATAATCGGCCGATTACCGATTATTTAAAAAACGGCCGATTAATCAGCTTTGCCGATTATTTACCGATTAATCGGCTCATCCCTACCTCACACTCAGGCACCTGATAATGCGTTTAATACCAAAGCCGCTCTTTTATGCCAGTCTGTTGTCCTTGCTGAGGAACAAGGCATTTTTGTGTGGGACCATAGGGAGTTTTCTCACCCTGATCGTCTCTTGTTGTCCTCAGATGGTGTGCACTGTAATACACAGGGACAGTACTGTTTATACCATAGCTATCATGGGGCCATCTTGAAAGCTCTCACCATGTTATAGTTCTTAGCTCCAATATGTGTTCATTTTACGCCGTTGGTACAGACATTATTATTGCATAATTGTTTGATAATTATGGTGCACTATATTATATACTCTTTTATATTTTACCCCTATGTATGTGGTTGCTGTTTATGTACCACTACTATATGTTTATGTTATATGGGCTAGAGCAACATGACTGTTTTCAGATACCCACGTTGAGACTTCAACATTGCGTTTTTTCTACACAGGATATATTCATGATTTGCGCTGGTTATATATACGTACAATTCGCAGCTTCTTTAATAGTTTATGGATCTGTTTTGTTTCATGTGTGTGGAGTGTTCTTGTAGTTTCCTTGTGTTGTATATAAGATGTCTTTTCTATAGTATAGGTATATATGACTTGCCGCTCCTGTGTCAAGGAAAAAATGCATGTCTAAGTGGGATAGAGCAATTATTGTTTTCAGATGCCCACAGTTGTTGTCAATATATTGTGGGACGGTGCGGCATGTTGTTTTCAGATTGCCCTTGTATATTATTTTTTGCAGCATCAAAGGATAATCAATTGCGGCTACCTTGCTGTATGCCATGATTATTCTGCTGCTTATATGTTGTTTTATTTGTCACTGTTGCATGAATATGTAAATGGTTGTGCAATATGATGTCTGTTATTTTCCAAAATTCCTCTTTTCTAATATTCCATGCAGGGCCTGATGTGGCTCCTGTCAAGCAAAGTCTTCGGTCTTTAGTTTTTTCGTTCAGAATGCTTGCTACTCGACCTAGCACAAGAGTTCAACGTCGTGCACAACCTGCAGCACCACGTCGTTCAGCAACCACTATGCAGCAACCAGAGTCAAGTGGAGTTAGTTGTGAGGCGTCTTCCTCCGTGGCCACAACGTCAGCACCTGATGCAGCGTCGCCAGCGACAAATGTTCCTGACGAAACGGTTCAATGGATCGTCTCCGCCGTCTCCCAAGCTGTGCCTAGCGTCACTCAATGGAGCTTGCGCCACTACTCTTTCGCCGCCATCTTCAGCTGTGGAAACGAGGGAATTGCCTATGGTAGCGTCAGGTATAGCTAGTTTTGCAGACGCTACTATGCAGGGGCCGGTAGCATCTGCCTTAAATAATCTTTCAGGTGAGACTAGTTTTATCCAAGTCTCACCGCCTGTAGAGCCGGGTCTGCCTAAATTTAATTCCATCAATGTACCCATTGATGCGAATGTGAGCGCAAAAGTTAAGTCCAAGATTTGGTCTCACAAATTCATCGATTTTGGTGTTTTAATTAGCTCAGGGGCAGGTGATACCCGGTATCACTTGTCTGTGAGCTCCCAAAACGGTTCAGCTTTGCCGACATTGTCTTTGGAACCGTCCCAAAAGCCGAAAGCCATTGCTAACATTGGTGCATGGACTTCGGCTTTTCAAATTTTTGTAGGGGTGTACACTGCCAAATATCCAATGGAGGCCCCAGTATTGATGAAATACAGTGAAGTTGTCCGGGATTTGGCTGTGCAAGGGGCTGACTGGTGCTTTTATGACTCGCAATTTCGTCTCTTGCGTCAATCTAATCCGACCGAGTTGCCATGGGGGTTTACGCATTGGGAACTTTGGATCCGTACACAGAATTTTAATAATGCGCGTTTTTCAAAATCTCAACCGCCTGTGCGCAACAACATGTCCTCTTCAATTGCCGGGCCCTTTGTTCCCAGGGGGTTTTGTCGCAGGTTTCACCGTGGCGATCACTGCCCTGGTTGCAATTATAAACAATTGTTACAAGTGTGGTGTAATTCACCCAGCCCTATGGTGTAATTTTCGTTCCTCACAGAACACCTCTGCCCCGACCTCGGCCAAATCTCGTCCTTCCAACACCGGTTCGAATTGATAATCTTCAACCTTTATTATGTGGAAACAATCCGGGATTGACATCTATTTTGTATACTGGTTTTAAGTTTGGTTTTTCTCTTCATTTTGAAGGAACGCGAACCTCATTTTTTTGCAAATAATTTAATTTCTGAGCAACAAAATCCTGAGATAGTTAGTGCTAAACTCTCGAAAGAATTGGCAGCCGGTCGACTTGCTGGACCTTTCGATTTCCCGCCTTTTCCCAAATTGCGTGTTTCACCCTTGGGGGTTGTTCCTAAGAAAGCCCTGGGGGAATATCGCTTAATTCATCATTTGTCTTTTCCCAGAGGGGATTCGGTTAATGATGGGATTGCACAAGAGCATGCGTCAGTACAAGTATGCTCGTGTTGATGCGGTTGCTATGATCAAAAAATTAGGTTCTGGTTGTTTTCTTGCCAAAACCGATATTAAGAGTGCATTTCGCATTATCCCAATCAAACCATCTGATTACGATCTTTTGGGAATTTTTTGGCAGGGACAGTATTATTATGATCGTGCTATGCCAATGGGATCTACGTCATCCTGTCGTACTTTTGAGATGTTTAGCACTGCTATCGAATGGGTTGCTAAGAAACACTTGTCAATCCCGTATTTAATCCACATTCTTGATGATTATCTTATGGCAGCGCCTACTTATCACCAATGTTGCATTGACCTTGCTCGTTTCTTATCTCTCTGCGATTACTTAGGCGTACCAATGGCGCCAGAGAAAACAGTCGGTCCGGAAAATATCCTTTCGTTCGCAGGCATTGAATTAGATAGTTTACGCATGGAGGCCCGTTTGCCTCTGGACAAAACTGAGAAATGCAAAATTTTAGTTTCAGCCTTTCTTCGACGCAAGTTACTTTACGCGAGATTCAATCATTGACGGGTTTACTTAATTTTGTGTGCTCAGTTGTTGTCCCGGGTCGGGCTTTTCTGCGTCGTCTGATCGATTTAATGAAGGGAATAAGATCTGCGCATCATTTTATCCGTCTTACCAAATTGGTAAAAGCTGATCTCAAAATTTGGCATCCCTTTTTAGATGATTTTAACGGCCAATCGTTTTTTCTTAGCGACGTTGGACTGATTCGTTCAGTTTAAATCTCTACACTGATTCGGCTGGTAGTTTGGGTTACGGTGTGATCTTTGGCTGCAAGTGGCTTTTTGGCCAGTGGCCTGAAAATTGGAAGCGACTTAATATCACTATTTTGGAATTCTACCCAATTGGTACTCAGTGTTTTTGTATGGAGAGATAAGATGTGCAACAAGTGGATCACGTTTTATACGGATAATGCGGCGTTGGTTGATATTATAAATAAAGCCACTTCTTGTGACGAGACTGTCATGATAGTTGTTCGCCGACTGGTGCTGGCATGTTTGAAGTACAATATTTTATTTTGTGCTCGCCATGTTCCGGGAGTTAAAAACGTTTTAGCTGATAGTTTATCCCAGTTACAGGTTTCGAAGTTCAAACAGCTAGCTCCAGTGGGTGTACAACCATCACCAGCAGTTATACCAGATCAACTACTACCACACAACTGGCCAATATAACATCTAAATTACTTCAATCTAGTTTACAGCCATCATCAATCCCTACTTATCGCCGGGTCTGGAACCTGTATAGCCAGTTTTCAAATGTAGTTTTCCATGCAGCTTTAGTAAATTTGCCCATATCGCCTTCTAATTTAGGTTTGTTTATAGCCTGCATGTTTCAGCGCAATTACGCTGCTTCGACTGTGAACACGTATGTCTCTGCACTGGGTTATTATCATCGCTTTGCAGGCATGCCAGACCCCACTAGGGTCTTTTGGGTGATTGAAATGTTGAAAGGGTATGGCAAACTTGGGTTGCACTTGGATACACGCATGCCCATAACTCTTTATGTCCTTCACAAGGTGTTGCAACAAACCTCAACCATATGTGCGAGTGAATACCGTGCGTGTATGTTTAAAGCAATGTGTACAACAGCATTTTTTGCCTTTTTACGTGTTGGGGAAATCACTTGTTGTCCTAGATCATCGAGTGTGCTTCAGTTAAATCAGATTGTCCAACTTGTCGACCATTCAGGCAGCGTAATTGGACTGAAAATCACATTTTTTTATTCTAAGCATTCTTACAACCAAACAAATGTATCAATCACTCTTAAGTGTCATTCAGATATATGGCCCAGTGCAGAGCTTACTGGATTATTTTTCACGCTGGGGTTTGTCGGATCGCCCGCTTTTTCGAACGCACGAGGGCCACGCGGTTAGCACTCATTTTCACGACATGTGGTCTCAATCCAACTAAATACAAAGGACATAGTTTCCGCATTGGCGCGGCAACACATGCTGCGGAATGCGGTTTTTCTGATGCCCAAATTTGATCAATGGGTCGGGGGAAATCCGACGCCTTTTTCGAGGTCCACGCCTGTGCTCAACCGCTTTGCCTAGATAGGCCGAGTTTGGTTGTTTGTCTTTTTTCACCGGATTTATCATGGCTGTCAATAAGCATTTAATATTTTGGCAAACTCCGCTTCCGTGCACATCTGACTGGTCAAGTTGACGCAGGGGCAAGACTTGACTACAATGATTATTATGATGCACGTCACTATATGCGACATACTGCTTTAGAGTGTTCTGTGATGCTGACGCAGGGGCAAGGCTATCAGAACACTTTTGTCTTGTCGGTGGTGGTTATACCTGACAGTTCAACGCAGGGGCACAAATTGTTTGGGTATAGCTAACACCCCCTTTTATATTATGAGCAGTTTAATTAATATTTTGCCAATACTATCACTCAATTTTGTAGAATTGTTGCTTGCTTGTTTCATCGGTCTGTAATCACTTTATCTGTCGATGCCTTGTCACGCTGGGGTGGGGTATGTCTTCTTTACCCAAGTAGACTTGTGGCGTTTTTATTACCCCCACGTTTTCTGTGCTAACTGTTAATGAATTACTTTGGTTAATAATTTGTTATGTTAAACTTATGTCATTGATTACAAAATTAATAAACCGGCATGTGCATTATGCAATACGCACATTGCCATAATTATTCCAAGTGGTGTCTGACTCGTTTATTGCATAAAGAACATGCACAGAAAACAGAGCTCATCGTGACAAGATATCCCCCAGATATAGTGTTAAATAAAGGAAGCGATAAAGGAATTATTGGCATACCAATGAAGATTTTATTGCTTCCTGAGCTTAGGATATATAAATAGACAAACTTGACATGGGACAAATGGGTATTTTCCCCGTAATTTTCTGATCACATGAATGTAATGCATGCAGGAAAACGGAAGGGAGAGGTGATACACATCTATAGCAGAATGTGCATCTGGTTAATTCTGCTCTTCGCTTTGGTAGCGCAAAGTCGTCTGTATTTTAAAGTCAAGTTTTTCCCCACCCTCCTCCCCGTTTTTCTGAACGCAAGACTATTCTACTTGTATATTAGTTATTATAGTTGTTACTGTTAGTTGTCGGCGTTTTTATTACCCCCACCTTTTCTGTGCTAACTGTTAATGAATTACTTTGGTTAATAATTTATGTTAAACTTATGTCATTGATTACAAAATTAATAAACCAGCATGTGCGTTATGCAATACGCACATTGCCATAATTATTCCAAGTGGTGTCTGACTAGTTTATTGCGTAAAGAACATGCACAGAAAACAGAGCTCATCGTGACAAGATATCCCCCAGATGTAGTGTTAAATAAAGGAAACGATAAAAAACGTTAGCTAATAATTTCTTTTACTTTTATTATTATGTTTGGATTTAAAGTTATTTGCTGGGCTCTGCTCTTTATCTTTAAACTAAGATTTCCACCTGGTGTATCAATTGCCACAGTTTTAAAGAAGTCTACTTAAGCGAATTTCAAAACTTTGATTGACATCAAGGTTTTGGTTGGCTTTCATGAGCAACAGATAATAAGCAATTATATTGCTGATTATGCTGAAAAATGTCAATAAAAACTACCAAAACAACTGAAATATTTCAATATTTACAAGTATAAGCTATCACTCTGTGTTTACACAGCCACCATTTCTACTTTTTCAGCATAATCAGCAATATGATACCTTACTTCCCATGCCCACCTGCATGACATGTTAACTTATGTTGAGATATTGGACATGAGATGAATATGTCTGCCGATGAATCAAGTGCCAGTATTGCTATACCAGTTTCTGCACCTAATATGCACTTGAAAACCTGGAATTATAATGAACACAGAACAATAATTAATTAGTTAATTGTAATTTTATTTAATAATAATAATAATAATAAAATAGATGCTCTCTGACCAAAAATATATATTTATTACAAGCTTGTAATTTTATAGTTACTTCTGGAAAAACGTACCATATTCCAGAACATTTTGTAAATCAACTTATCACTTTCAGTTTCAATCTTTTGACTAAATAAATGTAATTTCTATTATCCAATTGAACCCTATTAGCAGGAATATAGGTCTGATCCCAACTATAATATAATAAAATTATTCCACTTTTTTTTAAAAGCCATGCAGACAACAGGGGGAGCTTAACATATGCTTATATGGACGTATGCCTGGATGTATATGCCTGGCTATGTTTTGTAAACAATACAAATAGAGTTGAAAAATCAAATGGAAACTGATAATATATTCACACACTATATTATAGGGAATGCACCAGAACCAATATTTTAAGTTCCGGCTGAAACTGGAAAAACGTTTTCAGTCATCAGGGAGAAAGCATGCAAATGTAAGAATAAAAAGATTGACTATTGTTAAACATCATAATGAAGTGTTAATAGTGTACATTTTTCTTCTGTAGTCCAAATTTCTTCCTATGCTATTCAATAAATACACTTGATAAGAAATCTCTCTGAAAACAACAAAGTTTCTGTTCCGGCTATGCTTTTTTATTAGTTCCAGCCGGAACTAATTAACAATAATTACCGAATTGTATTCATCTTGTTAACAATAATTACCGAATTGTATTTATACCCTTTAATAATATTTTTATTGTGTTCATTTATCCACTTAAACAATGTAGTCACTTGCAAATTAGCCATACTATCCCTCATGTCAATGTTGTCAGTTAGGTTGCATACACCACCTTCTGAACAGTGGCGTAGCTGGTTCAAAAATAATCATCCCGCTGAAGGTGGGAATGTCGCACCAAAGCAACTTTTCTAGGGGGTTCGGAGGCATGCCCCCCAAGAAAATTTTGAAATCTAGGACCATGCAAATGGCATAACCTGCAATTTTGAGTGTGGAATGATGTCACTAGACAAAGTTTCAATACACCTCTGAAAGCAGTATTTTGCCTTCATAAGGGCCCACAATAATTGGTGTAAACTGTTGTGGTGTCCCTGCCTCTTATTATGTCTCATGTATATGAATTGTTGTACTTGTATTGTGTACTTTTTTGTCAAGGCGAAGCTAAATAAATAAGTAAATAAAATAAATAAATAAAATACAAAAAATGCAATCTGGCTCAGAGAAGACTTTGTGGGCCCTCATCACATTTATTTACTGAAATGTAAAAACAAGTAAAAAATTGATGAGGTTATGTGTGAATGAATTGCCCATAAATTCAACAAGCACACAGGTGCAAGTATATCAAATAAATGTCATACATAGAAAACACAGAAAAAATATAAAGATCGGTATGAAGGGAAAAAATACATTTAAAGTACATTGACTTGCTCTGCGACGTATATTAAATGTGTGAAAGTCGTCGCCAACATTTCTTAATTGCATAGCGTTGTGTGAGGGTGTTATATTACTTTGTCGACCATGTGGTATTTGCTTCTTGAAGCCTAATACATTCTAGTGAGCCATATTTACTATGGAAAGAAGAAAGTCTGGCATAAGCACAATGCCTTGGTTATTGAATTTGATAAATACAGGCAATCCTGAACAAAACCATCTGTGACACTATTAAAACATTCCTTTGTGCCTTTTTTTACCAATTAGACCAGAATAATTTACCTATTTGCCCCCCCCCCCCCCAAAACAATGTCGGACATTTTAACCATATTCTACGAATGCAATCAACATTGATTGGTGGGGGTAAGGGAGAGGTTTTCTCAATTTGAGATAATATTACAAAAGTTTGTCAAATAATTGGAAGTGTCGCAGATGTTTTGTCCAGGATTGTAGATCTTTACCCCACCAGATTGTTATTCCTAAATGTGGACTGAACACGTTTAAATACTACAAGACATTGCAGTCTAAATTTGCTCTCTGACTCTGGCACTTGAAATTCAACCTTCATGTTCAAGCAGTTATCAGAACGGCTGTATAATCATGCCATATACATTGAAGGGCTTCAGGGCTGATGCATATCCCAAGCTGCACATTGGTCATGAGCGAGCAAAAAATTTAGCCATTCAGATATTTTGGGAATTAGCCAATCGGATAACTTGTACACAAGCCCCTGATGCACAAAAAATGCTGATTTCCATAGGAGATGGGCAAATTAGCCAATCAGATAGCTCGAATGACTGCAGAGCGAGTATTACTTTATTGAAGGCTTTGCCACTCTATGAAATATAATATAGCTTGACCTGTGGATCACAATTTAACATAAGTTAACTGGACCACAATTTTAATAATTTAATTAGCTGCACAATTCTTATCTTAGTCACATGATCGGTTTGACCACCACTGGATACGCCCATGCTTTTCAATAGTTAAAAATCTGTTATTCAGTTATCGTTTGAAGTCAGATAATGATTCACATTCTACTCTGATCATACACTGATAGCTAGATAGATAGATAGTTTATTAAAAGCAATTAGTCCACGTGTTGTGACCCAATATCATTCACTTTCATGATGCATGTCTTAGATCTGAAATATTTTTACGGGAACTAACACTTTCGAACACGCTGAGTTCAAATCTGAAAAGTTCCCACTCCGTAGACCCGCACTTTTTCACAAAATGCTATTTTATCTTCACTAATTTCACAACAAATTTTTTCATTGTTCAACAATACGGATCGACGACGATACACGATTATGTCACTCAAAAGACCAGTTTCTATTAACCATTATTCCTTTTAACAAAAGATCGGTTTTGCTCGAATCATTTTGATTTATGCAATCTTATGCGTGTTGGACGTAAACAACATATCTTGTCTACAACTTTGAAAAGGTACAGATAGCGCTTTCTAAAATCATCTGTTCTAGAGATATCTCTATAAAATCACAAGGACATCAATGCAAAGTCTTTTAGCTGTGTCTCTGGCCTGAAAAATAACTCTTTTAACGCGATCAAGTTATTTAAAACAAAAGTAACACGACGCCAACGTAAATATTGTCGAATGGTTGCTGCTAGAAGACTTAGGACAGGATCAATCTTAAATAACCTTAAACTATGAGAATAAATGTTCACATCAAAGACAAAGATCAGTCCCAAAGTGTAAAATATGCTCTGTAAACTTACCACAAAGTGCAGAAATGTGTGCATGAGCTGTTTATTTGATGATTTCAACGTATATAAAAGCCCTCTTTCCAACAATATTCGCTTATTGCACAGTATAACACCAACTGATGCAATAGTTCAAATGCAATGATAAGTTAATCTTGAATTACGTTTCGGAAACCGTGTTGGAAATTTCAATGCTGTTCCATTACATATAGATTACCGTTTTATATCTTTGTATAAAACATTTTGATTGTGTGTAAGGAATTATTTCTCATCCCAGAGACATAGCACAAAGACTTGACATTAACATCCTTGTGATTTTATAGAGATAGATCCAGAACTAAGGATTTTAGAAGGAATTATCTGTACCTGTTCAAAGTTGTAGATAAGATATGTTGTTTACGTCCAATACGCATAAGATTGCATAACTCAGAATGATTCGAGCAAAACCGGTCTTTTGTTTAAAGGAAGAATGGTTAATAGAAATTGGTCCTTTTGAGTGACATAATCATGTATCGTCACCGATCCGTGTCGTTGAACAATGAAAAAATTTGTTGTGAAATTAGTGAAGATAAAATAGCATTTTGTGAAAAAACTGCAGGTCTACGGAGTGGGAACTTTTCGGATTTGAAATCAGCGTGTTCGAAAGTGTTAGTTCCCATAAAAGTATCTCAGATCTAAGACATGCATCATGAAAATTTTCTAGGCACTTTTCTAGGCGTTTTCTAGGCACTTTTCAAGGTCACAACACACAGACTAAATTACATTTGCAGCTGTAAAGTTGAATTGTGTAAAATTTTACATTACACTAGACACTAGATAAAAATAATAGAATTGATTTTAAAATTTACTTAATAGAGTCAATGTTAAGAAGGATAAAAGCCAGAGACTATCTATATCGTGAGGCTAATTATATGGTCACTTACTATTACTACATATAA